GTTTACTACATACGTAAGATTTGTGTCATCACATGAAAATGTATTGAAAGTTAAATTACGACATGGACTAAGAGACTAAAAAAATTCGGTCTTTTGTTCTTGGTAATAAACGCATGATAAGACGTAGTGCTGTGTCATTGCAAATATTACTCGTCTATAAATTGTTGATAATCTTTGTAAATAAATATTGCTTTAGTGAAATACGATTTGTTCTATGTCGGGCACGAATATTCTGAAATTTACGTCTACCCAAATAAATATGTATGAACTTCGACCAGGTCTCATTTTATACAATATTGTAAGTTTATGTTTTTGTCCTCTGGATTTAAGACTTTCCCTTCATATTTTTCGTCGTTGAGTTTCAATGAATGGTGACTTTATTGAAAAAGTCATAATTATGTATGCTGCATTTTGTACTTTCTCCAGTTCTTTATTCTCAGGTAATGTGCATTTATTCAAAATTGGATTATCATATTCCAAAATTGGACGCATAAAAACATAACTATACTTTCTAAATACGTTATGACAGGGTAGAACTTATGTTTACGTATATCATTCATTCTTGCCCATGCCTTTATTCCTTTGCATAGATCGTGGGTTCGATCCCGGGTCGATTCATACCAAAGACTTACAAAAATGGTATAATAGCTGCCTCGCTTGATGCTCAGCATTAAGAGGTTAGTTTTAGGACTGGTCGGCCTGGTGTCAGAATAATGTGACTGGGTGGAACATCATGCTACATGTCTGCGGCATGATGCCCCAGTGCTAAACATCACTATAAACTGCCATACTGCAAACATCGTAGCGATATGACTGACAAATTGTTAAAGCTACGTTAAAAATCATAATCACATCACATCATATCATTTGCATAGTCTATTTGTTAGTACCAAGAACAGTTATTTGAGAGAAAAACTCCAAGATCTTTGTGCGCGTCAGCTTCGTTCATACATTGGTTAAGCAAATATAGTTTCGGATGAAAGGGTTTATTAAGTTTCCTTGAAATTATCAGGAATTCGGTTTTAAAAGGGTTGAATGATACAAGCCAAATATTTGCCCACTGAGAAATTTTATTCCATTATAGAGTTGGGGTTATGAGCAGTTCCTATTGGATCAAAGATTACAAAGAGACTCGTATCACCTGCAAACAAACTTGTATTGGAGTTTATATTGCAAACAGATCCCTGGAGAACACAAGCTCTGATATACCTCCGCTTTAAAATCACAATTGGAAGTATCACTCGTTTTCTACTTTTGAGACTGCTAGAGAACTATTTTAAGGCTTCGTTTCGTACCAATAGCTTTCAATTTCCGAATGAGTTTATTATGCCACACGTTATCTAAAATTCTACTTATATAGAAAAATGCAATTCTAATTTTCCTAACGGTGCATATTACTTATCAGAACTTACCAGTGATGTATGTCAATTTATTTACGTGTTTAATCCCCCGGAGTAGAACCAGACTGAAAGGTGCAAGAAGGCCATTTTCATATCAGTTATGAAATATGTGTTTAAATATCAGTCTCTCGGAACTCTGTCCAAATTACTGAGAAGAGATATTGGTCTGTAGTTAGATACAATAGACTGGTCGCTTTCATCCAAATCTGGTCATTCGGTTGCCTCTTTCCAAAATTTAGCTAAGGTTGCTTGCCTAAGAGACTGGTTGCAAAGTGCACAAAGCAGACATGAGAGTTCATCACACCGCGCACGCAGAATACAGTTAGTTAGACCATCGATACCAGAAGCCTTACCAAGAGGATAGTCTTTGAGAACATTTTGTACTTCGTTAGAATTTAGTTATATGGTACTTCGGATGTAAAGGAATATCTAGAATGTCAACATTTATTTCACCTGATACAGTTTGCTTTATAAGCAAATCATTAAATAGCATATATTTCAATTTTTTCGGTGGTTATTGAACTATTATAATAAGGTCATCGAATAGAATGAATACGATTAGGGCTTGATTAATGACAGACTACCAGTCTGTGGATGATGTGCATGATTTCAGCTTTTGTGCTAATTTGTCAGTATGTAGTTGTTCGGTTTCTCGAATCATATAGTTTTATACCACAGGGATCGAAATTTTGTGCAGTGAGATTATGTTAGACTGCTTGGTTTTTCAATAGGCACTCCTATGTTTGATGATTAATCTTTTTATTGCCATTTTGATCTATGGAGGTTCTGATGGTTAAACGTTAACAGGTATATATATATATATATATATATATATATATATATATAGATATATGTTTATATATATATATATATATATATATATATATATATATATATAGATATATATATAGATATATAGATATATGTATATATATATATATATATATATATATATATATATATATATATATATTTATACCTACTGCATGGCTGGAGTAGATTCTTGCCACATATAACTAGATTATCTGGGAAACTGCATTTCCTGTTCATCAAGTCTTCAACTGCTCTTTTCACTCCTTCTGTCAAAATAGCAATAATTTATTCCTGGAACATAAGTTATCATCATTATAGTAATTTATTGCCTCATTAGTTGCAGTAACAGTTGGTCCTCAAGCATGATGGCACACTTAAAAGTCTTCAGTCAGTTTATTAACCAGGTATTTGTTTAAAACCACACCCCTAAAAAGTTGTCAATATTCCTTAACATTCTGCATTCTAGCAGTTTTTTGTGGCCATCTATAAATCTTACCCAAATTTGTAAACATGTGACTTATATGATGATTGAATATTGAACGAATGTTTTCGATTTTCTTTTGACGCATTGTTCCTATTTACATTTTAACTTATACAACATTATATTCGCTTTTGTTTATATCCAAAATCATCAGAAGAGAGACTTTAAATCGAATGTCTATACTTATGAATGTGCTCAGACATTTTGAAATAGCCTATCTTGCCATTGAAATAATTGACTCTGAGAACTTCGTAAAAGATTTATTTTTATTTTTTTTACGATTGACATTAATATTCGACATATGCTTCAACATTTCATAAAAATTCTCTCTGTCCACTGGAGAGCATAAAATTTCGTCATCATCAATAAATGCATTAATTGCATCAGGCGTCTAGGTATATTTTAAATCAAAAGTATTAGTGCATATCTCAGAAGTATTAATAATAAAAATGTTTATTAACAACTCAAGTGAAACACCTTAATAATACAATTAATGTGTTTCTCTTGAGTTGTTAATAAAAATTAACGTTCATAAACCCTTAACCATTACAACAAAACAAACGCATATATGTATATATTAAGCATTAAATGGTTTCATTTCCATTTTTGCTCCATGAGTTATTACCTCTCTAAAGAATGAGACAATATTGCCAAGGATATGAAGAGAGGACGAGATGAAGCCTCAGTCTGACGAGAATTCAGAAGCATTAGTTTCTGATATTGATTCATTATTATACAAAGTACGTTATTTTCCATCACATTGCTTATTAAGCCCGAAGCAGATTTCAGATGTGACTTAGCTTTATATATTCGCACCAGGAATTTGTGCTCTCAGCGACTCTGACGAGGATCGCGTGTAAACTGTTTAGTCTCATTAAAAACAATTTCCATCCTAAACCCTGACAGGTTTGTGTCCAAAAATCAGTATATGCCGATTGGCAACGCCTTTACGAAGCGTCGATATGCTTATGCATGTATGTGTTCAACCTATAGCTGGTTACTTCTATTCATAAAGCCTGTTTGAATCCAACAAATAGTTCTCAATACATGATAAGGAATTATAGGAGGTTATTAGACAAACGTCATGCAATAGTGCACCAGGCAAAAGCAGGAAATCATAAAGCGGACTGAATCTTTGATACTAGATTATTGTTGTCACAGATTATCAAAACCCAGTTGAATGTTACACAGAGGAAAGTGACAATTTTGGTTTTGAAAGGCAATTGCATAACAACTGGGCATGTTGAAAAAATAACTTCTCATGCAGATCAACCTAACAGCCAGTCAGTCAAGCAATAGATCAAATAATTAATAAGCTAAAATAATAAAATTTCATCGCCAATCTCAATATTTTGTTCTTTGCTTTATCAACAAAAGGTAAAGTGATATTAATGTCTTCGTTGTCCACGACGGCTGTGTTGACGCAGTGTTAAAGCTTTTATGTAACTATCCTTTTCTCTACCTGTAGACAGGGAAATTAACTATACTTAATATTTCAGTGTGGAAAAGTGTTTTTGTTTTTTTCATTAAAATCATTTCAGTCCCAGAGTTAATAGATGATGGGGATCAAAGTTCGCCTATTCTATCTGACTGAAATATGGGTATCTTTCGATAGAATTCAACGAAAACATTTACGATAACGTATGCTTTTGTTTTTGAAAACATTTTTTGGATCATGAGAAAAATATTTATGTAATCAGCATGGAGCAGTGTGTCCATCCATTCAGAATGACTTTTCCTTAGAATAAATTAAAAACGGTTCATAGCCTCATCTAAACCTTAATTGCTGGTTCTCAACATTTTAATTATATTTCGTTAGTAAATATACGTTTGATATTGTGTCAAGGTCATCATGGTATTTTATGGATGCTCTCGAAATAAGTATAAATGAGCTTGTGCATCTATGTTAATATGTAGGTTAATGAAAAGAAGAATAATCCGTTTAAAGCCTTCTTGATGAAGCGATCTTGGTCACAAACACGTTATGCTGAATCTAAACTGCCCGATCCCCCATTGAACATTGCAAGGCTTCTATTGGGATTCTAGCTTTTAGCAATTAGGTTTTAGCTATGATGGAGAAAAAAAGCATCTGATTTGTTACGATTTGTTTTACATGTTCAAGCTCGGGTCTTTTTATACAAGAAAACATATTTCCGATAGTATGACATCTTGGACTCGTGTAACATTTTCATTTCTTGCTGCTTAAGATATTTGTCACGAAATTCTAATGAGTTATGAATGAGTTAATCCAAATGCGTAATTTGCAGCACAAATTCAATTTAATATTGCAATCTCTCTCTCTCTCAGATCTTGTGGCCTAGTGATTAGAGCGTTTGCTTCGGGTGCAGAAGGTCGCAGGTTCGATCCCCGGCCGAGTCATACAGAAGTCTTATAAATATGATACTAACATCTTCCTCGCTTAGCGTCTTAGCAATAAGAGGTTAATGCTAGGTCTGGTTGGCATGGTGTCTGGATAATGTGACTGTGTGCAACATAAGGCTACATGTCCCGTGCTAGACATTACTCCAAACTGTCACACTGCAGACCTCTTATATATATATATATATATATATATATATATATATATATATATATATATATATATATATATATATATATATATATATATATATATATATATATATATATATATATATATATATATATATATATATATATATATATATATATATATATATATATATATATACCTCGTATATATATATATATATATACCTCGTATATATATATATATATATATATATATATATATATATATATATATACCTCGTATATATATATATATATATATATATATATATATATATATACCTCGTATATATAAATATTTATATGTGTGTGAAAATTTTTTTGAAGCTACGTTAAAATTCTAATTCACACACATACATTCTCTCTCTGTCTCTCTGTCTCTGTCTCTCTGTCTCTCTGTCTGTCTGTCTGTCTGTCTCTGTCTCTCTGTCTCTCTCTGTCTTTCTCTCTCTCTCTCTCTCTCTCTCTCTCTCTCTCTCTCTCTCTCTCTCTCTCTCTCTCTCTCGTACCGACACAAGATTCTTGGAAAAGTAATAACCGAATATAAATATGACGTGCGTGCTGTTGGTATTTATCCTGGTGCCGGAAATAAACTGTACAAGATATTGCATCATATTCAGAACACTTCCATTACGCAAGATAAAACAATATGACAAAGAGTGAGAGGACTTGCTTTATTTATTTATGAATGGATTATTGATAAAGAAAGACATTAAGAGGATGTAGCATTTACTTAAAAGTATTGATGGTGCGTACTAATATGTAGATGCATAATGATAAAGGCAGTAAATTGATAGAGAATATCACGTTTTCATCATTAAGACTGAATCTACATAGGATAGTAAGTTATAAATGAGTAATGTTTAAGTTGAACAAAATTGATATAAAAACCTAAGACACAATAATAAAACCAGACTGTAGGTCACTTTTCTTTCAAAAACATGCAAGGTTGTCAGCATGTTTATGAATTTCCGAATGATACACTTTATTCAGATACATGTAATTAATAATGAGGTGAATATTTAATCTATATTCACAGGGAAAATAACTATGAACTATGTATTACGCTATTTACAAAAGAAATTTCACCAGTCAGGACAAAGATCAGGTACAAATTACAGGTCACATAATCATTATCATGGAGTAAAGAAAACAAACAATGCAAATTACATTTTAAAAAATACGATGTTAAACTGTCCTGAAATTAATTGCGCTTAATAACTGAATTTACGTAGTCGCTATTGCAGTTGAAACAAATGTGATATAATGATACAAAAGCATGGATGCTTTTGGAACTCCTTGGGTAATTTTAACAAAAGATCATAATGAGGTTATATTATATTGTGCTATGATGATGATGATGAATTGCGACAATACCTATACAGTTATCATTGTAGAATGCTCTTGTTGCTTTCAAGCAATAGTCTGATGAGTATATACATATGTACATATATATATATATATATATATATATATATATATATATATATATATATATATATATATATATATATATATATATATATATATATATATATATATATATATATGTGTATATATATTTATATTTATATTTTTGTTGCCGTAATATCCTACTTATGTTTATGTTTTTGTGATGCAGGCCAATGTTCTTCTTCACTAATATCCTAATGTCGTAACACGAAAATAAATAATTAAATTTAATACAATTATATTGAACATTAAAATAAAGGAAGATGAATAAATGAACAAACAAAAACAATGAATGTGTAGGTAAAGTAGTCTTTTATTGATTTCTGTTTTAATGACATAGCTTCTTTCGTCTTTATGGTTGCTCTCAATCTGCATAATACCGATTTATCTGAGAGCAGAGAATCACTTTGCTGCTCCAGATACTCTAGCAAACCCTCAGTCCATTGAAGAGCAGATGAGTTGTTTATCCTTGTTTCAGGAATAAGTTCCATGTCTTTGTCGTCACTCTCATCAGAATCTGTTGTCTGCCCTTGTGCTCTTTTAATGATTTCACAGTCGGACAAAACCTCACACCCTAGATCGTCACAATCAACATCATACCATTCTAAAATAGTTCCACTATCAACTTCCTTACTACCCTCTGTACTCTGTAAAATGGCGGCTAATTCATAAGTCGAAATCTCTTCTTCATCGAAAATATTGCAATCGACAGTTTCAACTTCAGGAAATATTTTTTCCATGATTTACTAATTGTGGTTGGCTTTATGGAATCTCAGGCATGTGCAACTTCGTAGATAGCATCCAGCAACGATACTGTTTTTGAGAAAGTATTTAAATCATTGCCTACTTCCACTAACTTCTGCAGAAGTAGTCCTCTATATAGCCTCTTAATAGCAGACATCACCCCTTGATCCATTGGCTGGATTAGCGCGGTTACATTAGGTGGCAAATATTGTGTTATTATTTTACCGTCAGCAGACTGCCAAAACGCTTCATTTGGATGGCTTGGAGCATTGTCTAATAAAAGAATGGCTTTCTCTGGCAAACTTTTTGATCTCAGATGCTCGCGAACTTGTGGTACAAAGTTTTTATGGAACCATGTTTTAAAAATTGTGGTATCCATCCAGGCTTTCTTCTGATTAAAATATGTCACAGGCATATTGGTTTTTTCAGTTCCCTTGAAACAACGCGGCTTTTTCGCTTTTCCGATTACAGCTAGTTTCACTTTATGAGAACCAGTAGCATTTGCGCAACATAAAGCAGTGATTCTTTCTTTGCTGGATTTATGTCCCGGTACTCGAATTTCTGATTTCTGTGCTAATGTTTTTGTGGGAAGACATTTCCAATTTAGGCCAGTTTCATCAGCATTATAAATTTGTTCAGGAGTCACCTGTTGCTCTTCTATGAACTTTTGAAAATCATTTTGGAACTCACTTGCAACTGTTTAATTGTTACTTAATTTTTCCCCATGTATAGAAATCTCACGTATTCCATGCCGCTGTTTGAATCGCGTCAGCCATCCCGAGGATGCATTGAAATCACCTTCCATTCCTAATGCATCAAAGTATAGTTTTGCCTGTTTTGCGCAGATAATTCCTGAAACAGTAATGTTTTGTGCCTTTGTTGGTTAAACCATTGCAACATCGCTTTATCAAGCTCATCACAAGTTGACAAACTCATTGTTTTTCGGCTTGATAAGCCACTTGATGAATCAGAATTACTGGCGTAGTTAATCAATTTATTTTTATTTTTTCGGAGATCGCGAACTGTTGTTTCACCTATACCATATTGTAAAGCTAAGTTTTTGGTAGACCAGTCTTGCTCAAGTTTCTTAATTATGTCGAGTTTTTGGTTAATTGTTAAAACTACGCGCTTCCTTTTCCGCTCCATTATCCTGTTTCCAACACAAAAACTTAAATACAGTATTTTTGGACACAACTGAAGTAGCCTACTGTACTGATAACAACTGAATAATCGTAATGTTCTTTTAACATAACTCCTTCCCCCACTACCAAAAAGAAGGCGTTTAACATCCGCAATTTTCTTGGGACAGGAAATAAAGACCTATTTTAAAATTAAATAATAACTCTAGCCGGGAACCAGTCGTAAGCCCGAGTCGTCGTTAAACAGGTCGGTCGACTTCCTGTAAAAAATTTTCGATTTTGAAATTGTCGCATAACTCCCCATCATTTTAAGATATGGAGTAAAACATTCTTTAAAAATAAATTGCCGCAGTTAAGCCGCGAAGCGATTAAACCGCGCGCGGATAATCAAGAGTCTACTGTATATATATATATATATATATATATATATATATATATATATATATATATATATATATATATATATATATATAGATATATAGATATATATATATATATATATATATATAGATCTATAGATATAGATAGATAGATAGATAGATAGATAGATAGATAGATAGATAGATAGATAGATAGATAGATAGATATATAGATAGATAAAGAGAGAGAGAGAGAAATATAAATTAAATTAACAAGGTAACGGCACTTTGCTCAAGGTTACTTTACATAGTATTATTTTCCAAAATAGAAAGGACGTTCTAACAATATAATTGCGCGTAATGCATATTAGAAATGAATTAAAGCGCATGTTATGCAAATTCTAGTGCGAAATATGTTCCCAGCTGATCTTTCCGTCATAAATCTGTGTCCTTCTAAGACCTGCATATTGATAGCTTTGATAGCATGCTCTCGTGAATGAGAATGCAATTGCTGAACTTTTGGCAAAACATGAATAGAGGTTGTTTATCTCTCTGAAAGCCATTAATAACAGGACGGGGTTTCAGACTCAGACAGGAAGAATAACATCTCTAAGGAGTATTAAAACGGATACAATATAGACTTTTCGGCTCCACTGATGTGAACTTATTAATGAAAGAGCAATCACCCTCAAAATTTATTGCATTTAAGAGCATCCCTAAATACTATTCTGATTCATTCAAGCTTTTTTTGGTCTGTCTGTCTATCTGTCTGTCTCTGTCTTTCTTCGTACATACACACATACATACATACATACATACATACATACATACATACATACATACATACATACATACATACATACATACATACATACATACATACATACATACGTACGTACGTACGTACGTACGTACGTACATACATACATACATACATACATACATACATACATACATACATACATACATACATACATACATACATACATACATACATACATACATACATACATACATACATACATACATACGTACGTACGTACGTACGTACGTACGTACGTACGTACGTACGTACATACATACATACATATATACACACACATACATACATACATACATACATACATACATACATACAT